CCAAAAAATGAGTGTTGAATATGAAAAAAAAAGGTAAAGTACGAAATTAAAGTCTAAAGAAAGAACTTCAATAATCAATAGAGAAAACGAGAGATGCAAGTAAAATTAAAATACGTGATTAAACAAGAGGAATACAGAGAAAGTTTCTAAAGCATATAGGGTATTTTTGGAAAACAAAAAAAAAAAAAAAAAAAAAACAAGACAAAATTGCAAGTTTGGCCCCTATGGTATGTCAAAAATCGGAGGTTTGGTCCAAAAGGTTATGGAGTTGCACCAGTGGTCCAAAATGTTTTTTTTTTTGTTGTGGAAATGATCCAATGTCTTAACAGTCGTTTATGCCCTCCATTTGTGTGAGGGTAAATTTGTCAATTCATAGGTTCTCTTTTAATATCTGATTAAATTAATACCCCTTATTAATAGATGTCAACGTCTCTAGAATGTAAACATTTTTTCATTCCACCTATGCAAACATAGATTCTTTTAATATCTGATTAAATTAATACCCCCTATTTAATAGTAGCCAACTTCTTGAGAATGTAAACCCTTTTTCATTCCAACTAAGCAAACATATATTCTTTGAAAATATCTTGAAGTTGCATTTACAAGATTAGTTTGTGGAACCATTTCTAGCGTCATAGTCGTGTCAGGATTTGTGGACTATAACTCTATAATGTAATCTCTCAGGACTTCAAATTGTTTTGTGTAATCCCTCATCACATTTTTTTTTTCATCTGCTATAGCCATGAATATCTTGTCTTTATATAAGCTCACATGGTTTTTTTTTAAGTAGTTTATGAACATCTTTGATTGGCACAGTTGGGATAGATTCCACTAGATCCATAATCTGTTTAGAGAGGAACTTTGTTGTGGCGGATCTTACTTTTTTGGTATTAAAGCATGAATGTTCTGGTTGGTATGTTTTCACATACCAACTGTCTTCCTCGCTCTCCCTTGAAGCTAGTGTAACCTAGGGACAAGACAATGCAACTTTGTCCTTACCTTTGCTTTTGCTTTTGCATTTAATTTTCTTTCTAGTGGTAGGCACATCTAATTCACCGTCACTAAATATGGCCTCCAACCTTAGTTTATCATTTTTTACAAAACGATTCTTCCTAGTTTCCAATGCATGATGGACAATCTTGTCTTTCAACTCTTTTTTACTTTTATATTGTTGTCCTATACAAAAAGTTGCTTTATGAACTTATCCTAAAGAAAATTTTATTTCCTTCCCTAGTTCTTTTATAACTTCTCTTCTCTTCTTTCCCATATAAGAATCATCACCCAATGAATCCCATTCCACATTGTCAATTACATCCAACTCTTCATGGTCTTGATCTCCATCTTTCTCCATGTTATCATTTAGTATTTTCTCAAAAAAAAATAATAAAAAAATTTTAAAAAAAAATAAAAAAATAAACTATGTTTCAGTGTCAATGCTTATGTGGAAATCCCTCATATCCATTTCAAGTTTAGGAATGATATTGTCCTCATCCACCCAATCATTATCCTATTGCCATCTTCCCCATCCCCATCAGATTTGCTGTCATCTTCCATATCATTTTCTAGGCTACCTTCCATTTCAGCCTCCATGTAATCGTCCATGTCATTAATGAAGTTATCTTCCATGAAAGCCTCATGTCCATGTTAAATAAGATCTTCATTATTATGTTCTTCCACTTCAACTAAAGGTTGTTCTTCCACTTCCACTTCATCTTGTTCTTCTACTTTAACTCGAGCTTGTTCTTCCGCTTGTACTTGTGCATGTTCAATAACATCTACATTTGATTGTAATATATTTTAGTACAAACCACTATCAAATTCACTAGGTGTCACACCCCTAGCCGGCAACGGAAGTGCCAGGCTGTGCGACATTAGGATAATATAGATTGAGTAATACACTGGATATATTAAACAACATTGTTATTTATTCATTAAATAAAATATGTTACACAACTTTTCGTGGTACAAGTAGGCCATGAAAGAAATCTACAAAAGTAAATCACATAGACTCCAAGTTCCATCACTGGGATTATCTCCTCCTTTAGATGGGTTCATTCTCTGGATAATACATGTGGTTTTGAGAGGTAAACATAATGTTGGTGAGTCCATATGTTTTATTGTTATAAAACGTTATATGGATGTTTTAGTTTATCATCTTTGTCGTAAACTCACTTCTTTGAGTTTATGTGTACTATCACTACTTTCTCAGGTTGGTTCCTAGTAGTAATCTAAGATAGTTTTAGTTTAACAAAGTTATGATGAGTTCTTATATCGAGTTATGACTTATGATCCCAAAAACCATGACGCTTCATCGGACGTCGCTAATGTACTTAGATAGTTATGTCTACTTCGACTTGTCGTCAGGTTGTAGCTAGCAACTACAAGTGGGAGTGTCAATCCCGTATATATATATATATATATATATATATATATATATATATATATATATATATATATATATATACACGATCACTTAAGATTTAACGATTATAGGTTGAGAGCTAGTTGAAAATCTATTAGTGTGTTGATGAATCATGTCTCATCTAACTCTTGTTGTGGGGGACTCCCCTGGTTGGTCGTGTTGATATTCGCGTTGCATTTATACGGGTTTATGTATTATATATATATATATATATATATATATATATATATATATATATAATATATATATATATATATATGTCAATGTTGTAAAAATCCCGATTAATCCCTAGGCGCTACTTGAACAGTTAGAGGGTGCCTGGTGATTAATCCCTACATACACAACGACTGAAACAATAGAGGCTAATGAAAATTTAACACTTTGAAAAAGTTATATCTCAATAGAAACTATTTGAGGTACGATTTGTGTTGTATCTATCATATTATCCTATTTTGTTATGATGTTAGTGGCATTAACGAACTTTTATATGGGATTACTTATATTTTTTTTAAATCTAACAAATTAGTAATTAATGGTCCCTGATTAATATCCGCCTAGTTGATTAATCCCTTAACCCCAGTCCACCGACTAGCTAACGTCGAGCGATTTTTACAACCTTGATATATATATATATATATATATATAATATATATATATATATATATATATATATATATATATATATATATATATAGTGTGTTTTGCATATCCAAGTATTTGGGTAGAGTAAAACTAGGCACTAAGCTTATCCAAAGGGTGACTATAATAACTAGTTTCAACATGACTTGGCAACTGGCTGGTATGACAACTTGTTATGATCTTGATCTATCATTGCAGTTCAGTATAACAACTAGACATAATATTAGCTAAAGAGTTTGGTCAGAGTATCTACCAGGCATAATATCATCCTGATGTTATGAGCATAATTATTTAACTGTAATTAGTAATAACTATGTAAAGGTGTATTTTAAACATGTATTCCTCCCGAAAAGGTTTTGAAAATGGGGATGTGAACTCACCTATGAGTTATGAAAATGTTGATTTAGGGTACAATCCACAAGTTAGAACTTCGAGAGGCGCTCGAGGTAGTGACACGCGAATCAAGGCCAAGAGATAAAGGATGGGAGGGGTAAGGAAACTTATCAGTTGAATCTTGCTATTTATATCAAGTTTTGGAGTGCACGCCATGCAAATGCACATGAACCGTAGGATGTTTCCACGTGTCGTCCTCTTCTTGTGCCACGTCACTCCGTATCCAGACGTATCGACTGTCAGATGTGCACGACGTACTTTACGCAAGCGCGCATGACGATAAAAATTCTATAATTCTCGCATACGGAGCTCATTCTCAACAACTCTTATATATCTGTGTAGGTCTCGTCAACTTTCCTTTTGTTCGGTTTGTTTAGTTTTGAATTTCATTTCTCGATGAGTTTTTATTACCGTTATGATTTTAGAAAAATGATAACTCTCTCTTATGTCTTTCGTTTTAGGCGTTCCTTGCCTCATAATTCCTACTTTAAGTAGTACTACAATTGCCTAGTTGGTGAGGTTTTTTTTTTCCCCAAAAGTTAACCAATCTCCTTGTAGTTTTTGTCATTTTAACTTTTAAGGTATAGTAAATATTTATTTACTATATCTGTCATATCTCACCCATAATGTGTCAGATTCTTGCGAAATTTATCTTTCTGGAATCACGGCGGCTTAAAGAGATTAAATATGTTAACATGCTCTCAAAGTGACGTGACTTTTTGTGCACTTATTTTTGAGCCTAAAGGTTGACATATTTAAGGATGAAATATTTGAATATATTAAAATATACTAGGTTAAAACCCGTGGAACCCACGGGTGTTAATTTTAAATAGAATTAAAAATTTGATTATGTAATAAAATAATACCACCATTCATTTATAGTTATAATAGCAATGTATTTGTAGACTTTTACCAAAAAAACAATGCACTTAAAACTTTTACCAATTATTTTCTTTGTTTTTGGATCAAAGTCGTAAAAATGAACAGAATTCCTCGATTCCATCGATAACAAAATAATAAACCTGATATAGAATTTTTCATTTTAAGCTTGTAAACTGAAACCCACATTCTTTGTTCCATATACCAAAATAATATCCAACACAAAAATTCATTATAATCATTTTTAAATGCAAATGAGTAAACATTAATTCCAAACCATGGAATTGCTAATACCAAATAGTAAATTTTGGTTAAAAAATATAACACCACATGTAATCAAAAAATAAAAAATATACAATCTTACACTTAGCATGGACCTTGCTGATTTTAATAGTGTCATTAATAGCAACCAACTACTAAGACCCCATAAATGATGAATATATATCAAATAAATTAAACATAAATATAACCTTGTTTTATTATCCATGGATCAAGCATAGCTTGTATGCTAAAATTAAACCGTTAAGCCAAAAAAAACACCACCTAAGCGTTGTTTGTATAGTGTATATAGTTTTTTGTGATACCAAATTAAAGTATCCTCAAAGCTGCAATTGTTAGTGTTACCAGAAAAAAAAAATGCAATGGTAAAGATAAACATAAAACATTAGAGGGGCAAAAAGGTCAAAACACATAAGTGCAATACATAGTTATGTATGCTTCCCTTCAAAAGCTTCATATGCTAACATTAACAAATTGTCATAAGAGTGAATATGATTATGGAAATTAGATTGTTAAGAACACTAAAAAGCTCTAGGGCCATCAATGGAATTGTTCCTCTTACTTCACCCGACACAAGTGTGTTCCGTTTAATTCTTGATAAACCAAAATCACCAATCTGAAATTTAATTGTATAATGGTATTTTAAATGCAATATTTGTTACTTGGAATTTTATAAATTAAAAAAAAAAAAAAAAAAAAAAGTAGATATGAATTACCTTGCATACGGGTCTATGAGGATCTCCCAAATTAACAAGCAAGTTTTCACATTTTAAATCAAAATGAACAATGTTTTTCCAATGCAAATACTCCATGCCAACTGCAACATCTTGCATAATTAGAAGCCTCTTTCTCCGATCAAATGATCTGCACCATATATGTTAATTCTTCATATCCATTTTTTTTAATAAGTAATAAGTTGATGTTCAACTTACTTATCTTTTCTAAATAGAACATATCTAAGTGAACCATTAACCATATATTCAATAAAAGTGGATAATGTTCCCCCCGACCATCTGACACCACACAATAAAGTGCCACCACATTTGGGTGGTGAAGTCTTGAAAGTATCTGAGCTTCTCTCCGAAAGTATTTAGTCTATGAAAATAATCATGGATCAAATCTATTATTTCTTTATATAGAGTTTAGGTTAGATGCAAGAAATATCAACTTACCAATCGCTCTTGCTCTGATTTTTTTTTGCCGAAAAACAACTTTTTTTAATCCTTTTTATAGCAACCTTTGTTCCCCTCCATTTACCATGATAAATAGTTCCAAATGTACCGGCTCCTAATTCACGTAGTTCCTCAAGATCAACATTTTTATGATCTGCATCTATGGAATCCTTAGTTAAAATAAGCTAAAATCTTTATTTGATTAAAGTTTTTTAAACTTTTATTTATTCGCCCAATTTTTAACAGGAGAGAGCGTGAATTACATCATCTGCAGACCATGCATCCCATCTTCAGCTTTAGCTACTGTTGTATGGTGTTCACCATTCACTCCTTTATCATCCTCAACATCCTAAAACTGAAGATTAATCAAATTGGCCAAAGAAAATTACTAAATAAAATGAATTTCTATAAAAAAATTTACCTTGCTATGAGATTGAGCAACAATCTCATTTTCTCTGTTTCTAATTACTAAAACTCCATCGCTTGATTCATCTTGAACATATGGCATCACTGCTGCAGATGAAGGGATGCCAGGTGGCCGATTATCAGTTACATCTTCAACAATAACATGAAACTCTTGCATACTATCATTTTCCACAAAGCTTCCAAATCGAGAAACATCATTACTAATGGCTAAAGAAATAGATGGACTTGTAATGATCACATCATTCATCGAGGGGTATTTTCATAATTTAATCTCGAAATGGACCCACTTCTGTTAAATGATGATAAGAGAACACAGTTTTCAACATACACATCTATTATTCCCATTTCTGTTGATGTGTCATGATGTCATCCAGAAGATAGGTTGAAGATTGCATTGCTACTTTCTGTTCTAACAGCATAATTTTGATTATTTGAAGGTAGATATACAATGTTGTGCTGATTTTGATATGGATCCCTTATATCTTGACTCCATTCAGTATATTGATTGTTAAAATCAGAAGGTGGATACACAACTACTGTTGCACACCAACAATTAGCACTCTAGTTTGTGAACTTGCCTCCAATGAATTATTTGACACTTTCCAAAACTGCAAGAATACAAAGCCCTATTAGGTTTCAAAGAAATAGGATTATACTTTACATTATTTTAATTACAGCATCCCAAACACACACGAACAGTAACACAAGCCCAAGTTCTCACAAGCATTTTATCAAACACATACAGTGCACCATCAATCCATCGTATTCAAGTTTACCATCAGCAAATCATGTACAATGGTTTTTGAACATCATTTATTACGCTAGGTTAAGAAGAAAGAATTAAGTGATGGATCGATCTAATACTCACATTTAGAATCAAGAAAAAATTGAACAAGCAATAAAATATAAGAAGACCAGATTAAAGAACGGGTTTGGATAAACAACAAATTGGAGGTAGAAGCATACCATGAGTAACGATAAAGGAGGCAAGAAGAGAAGGAAGCAACATCGTTTACGGTTCGTTTCTAGTGGGAGGCGGACGAAGGAGACGTATCAAATGGTGGTGACATCTAGGGTTGTAGATCGAGAAAATAGGAAATATAAGTAGTCAGCATATCGGATACCTATTTACACGCGGAGTATATTGTTGATTGATTCCTGATTTTCAGGAACAAAATTGGAGTGCAGTGACGAAATAATAGACAAATTGAATTGCAGAGTATATTGTTGATTGATTCTCGATTTTGAAGTGAATGGCATTTACGTTGACCTAAAGAAAAGAAGTGGGAAAACTCTATTTTGGGGGTCTGGGAGACTGACACGTGGCCAAATTCTACTTATTTATTAGGATAGGGGATTGGATGATTTCAAGTTGTCCTTATTACATTCAACGCTCTGTTGTTAAATACTAACGGCGGTTGGTGGCGTTTTCTCTGGGTTGTCACACTAGCTGCCTCAATAAAGTCATTTGCTATAAGCTCTTTATCTTTATCTCTTATAATACTAACATCAACGTCATAGTCCAAGCTCAATATCTTACTACAATATGACATCCCTTTGTCCTTATTCAAAATCTTTATCAAATTCTACTCAGGAGATATTGGAGTTGGCAATGGTTCTTCTAAAATAGGGGATAACTTAGTGGGCTTGTTAATGGTTGTACCTCAGTTGTCAGGTTTGCATTATCATCTATTTCATCCATCTGTACAATAGTTACCTTCCTCACAGGTTTAGTAATCATAAATTTGGTAAGTAACTTTGTCTCACCATATTCAGTATATACCCTCATAAGTTTATGATCACTCACATATTGGGCAAAATTACGTAAGTCATCATCATTGCCTAAAGGTTTAAGACCAAAGTGGAAGTCTCCATCGAGCACAAGGAAGTTGGAGGAACACCATACCTTAACCCTCTCATGATGGCATCAAACTCATGGATTGAAAACTTATTTATATCCACCATGTTAAGATAGTTCACTCTTCCCTCAATGTCCTAAACATCAGGAAAATTGGTGAACTCACCTCCATGGTATAGCTTGATGCCAAACACTGTTGGATGTCCATCTTCAATCAAGAACAAAAACAATTTCAAGAACATGATTTCACAAAAATACATGATGTAATTTATATAGAAAATGCAAGAAAACTTACCATAAGCCACCTTTGGGTTGAACGGTTTGTATAAAAGCCTTAAATTCCACATTGGTATGTTCATACACTAAACCAAGTGCGATCAGAACAAAAAAAAAAAACTTAACTTTGAGATTAGGGCTTTTGATTATGTAATGCAAGACGAAGACGAATGTGATATGAAATGGAATCACCAAAAACGTAAGTAAGAATTGGCAATAGATATCAATTAATTAATTCAATCATATATTAAAAGAGAACCTGCGAGTTGACAGATTTACCCTCTTACAAACGGAGGGCATAAACGACTATTAAGCCATTGGACAATTTCTACAACAAAACAAACATTTGGACCAAACCTTCAATTTTTGACATACCACAGGGACCAAACTTGCAATTTTGTCTTTTTTTTTTTTTTTTTTTTCTCTTTTTCCAAAAATACTCTATATGCTTTGGAAACTGTCACTGTCGTCCTCTTATTTAATCACATCTTTTAATTTTACTTGCATCCCTTTTTTTCTTTATTGATTATTGAAGTTCTTGCTTTAGACTTTAATTTCATCATTTACCTTTTTTTTCTTTTGATTGATAAATGTACGACACAAAACAACTCATTTACTTCTTAACACCCATTTATTTGGCTTCACTCATAGGCTTTATCTTATCATAAGCATACCTTTTGGACATTCTAATGACGAGTTCACAATGATTCATGATTACTAAGGTTCATATGATTGGTGGTAGAAGATGCAAAGCTCCACATCATTTTTCCACATTTTCCTATAGTTTTTTTTATACAAAATGGATGTGTTTATCATGCCAAGCAGGGGAGAAATGTTCCATCAGAAAAGAGAGTGTGCCAACATAGGAGAGAAAGTGACAAGTTTTTGTGGAGTTGGCTCACTTGGCTGCCAAGCTCGGCATCAAGGTTGGGTGTTCAAAATGTTCCATCGCTCAAGGCCCCGAAAAATATAGAGCCCGAAAATCATCCTATTTACCTAGGTGAGATTATATTATATATATTATTATTGACATTTAAAGACAAAATCATTGTAGCGTAGTTGGTTAAGAGCGTGTCACTTTATATCCATCCATTTGTGTTCGACTCCTTTAGATTGCAAATTTTTTCAACTTTTTTTTTTTGTAGTAATATCTATATATACAAATTAATTGGAGCTTATTAAAATATCTATTACTGTTAACAAGTTGGTGATACTGCATAGGCCTTTATTGGCCCTTAACCATAGTTCAAATCCTACCACCTATTCTACCGTTTTATTTTCATTTTTTGTTTAATGTTTTCCACTTCAATATAGTATATAATATTTATGATTTTTTTTATATAAATCTATTTTTAAGAGGCTTTTTCTTATGTTTGCACAGGGCCTAAGATAAGTCAAGTTTGGCCCTGCTCGACATGTTGAGCTCAATGGATGGTGTGTAAAAAAATCATAATATTAAATAATGTTTTAATTAAGATCAATTTACATACAATTTGACACTTAAGATAATTAATCTTTGTTGTTATTATGTCACTAAAAACAAATGACACAAGTTAAACATACAAGCAAGTTCCATATAACTATTTGTATGATTTTCATTCAAAACCCATTCAAACAGTACATACAAATGAATTAAAACATTCGGTAAACATAAAAAAAATTATATCTCAATGAATGAGAAAAAATCCTTATTATTTAAAACTATCAAATTTCAATGTGTATATTGTTGGATTAGTGTCTAAGCCCATAACCATATTTGGTAAGTACTTGACCCGATTGTGCATGGTCCTTTTGGGTTGCCTTTACCAAAGAAACTTGACTGGAGAAATGATAGAGAAAGAGGTTATTATGGTTTATTAATATATTATAAGAATAATATATTAAAAGAGAAATCATATTTGTTTAGTTAATATTGATCAATAATTAATTAAGAATTAATTTTGTGATTAAAAGAAGTTAACTAAACTAGTGGGACTGAACTGTAATTATGTGATAGTTGCAAAGTAGGGAAAAAGATGCCCTATAGGATAGGGTGGGCGAATTCAAGGGCATAAGTCCCTAGAATTCGTCCATGATAAGGCTTCTAGACTTATCTTATGGGCTGCTTGGTAGGCAAGAAACTAGATAAGGATAAGGACTGAAACCCTAACTCCTACACTTATATAAGGACCCATTGGCTTAGGAAAACCGGCCACTTGATCCTAGAAGTTCCTAGAGCTGATTTGATGCCTCTCCTTTCTCTCTCTCTCTCTCTCTCTCTCTCTCTTGCCTTTCCATTTTCTCTTGGTGTTTGTGAGCCATTAGAGGTACTACACTTGTGATACTTGATTTCAAAGACAAGAAGATTCAAGATTTAAGTATGTAATCCTTTCTCCTTCATGCTTTTCGAAATTCCTAGGAGCATGCTAGGGTTCTTCATGTGTTCATAATGTTGTGTATCTAATAGTGAAAACATAGATCCGAATCTAGGGCTGCATGCACACATAGGATTGTTTGTATAAAACCCATCATATATATCATACATATAATTTCTCTTTTGTGTGTATAAGATCACACCTCATCAATTTCAAACAAAAAATAATTTTTTGCTATGTAAGTAATCATGAACACAAGCCGATACCACTATTATTTATTCTATTGACGACGGTGAGTCTAACTGCTCTCCTCCAAATCTCAGCCATCTAAACTCCACGTTCTTTCAATCTCGTTCGCATAAACTCGATTTTGGTGGTTTTTTGCAGTTAATTGCCTCCTGGTTCTTCTCCCCCACGATTCTGTACAATTGTATATCTACCCACGTTCTACATAATTAGATGTTGTTCCTCAAGAAGCAATTGATTTGGAAATTGCATTAAACTGCAGCACGCGTCAGACTTTTAACCTTAACCGCAAATTGGTTTTAATCAAGAACTGCACCACACGATTCCAGGATTGCTAGAATTCAGGTGGTTTTGATTAACTGTCTTGCCTATATAAAGAGTTGAATTTCACTGTAAATGCTTCAATCATAGTTTTCGATTGACAATTGTTGGTAAAATTAGTTGATTCTGTTGATCTAATGGCTTCCGATTCGTCTGACATACCTTCACTTATGTTAAAAATTCATTTGTTTA